GGTCAAAGACGGATATATAAAACCATAACGCTACAGTTCTGCAGCTACCTAACTTCAAGATGTAGATTTTCTGTTTGGTCTTTTTGATCTTTTGACGAGAGTATAATCAATCACATGCTTGTATTTCAATAGGATAATACAAAAGAGGAGGGCGATAGTGAAGACAAATGTACACATTGAAAGTTTACTGTTACTTTCAGATATATATAATCTTGATGGTGCAAATTTTTAAAAGGTTCCAAAAGTTATTTGGGCATCAAATTTGCCTCTCATTTTCTTTTCAACAGTCCCAACTGATAGAAATTAAAATAATCGGTGACGTTATACCAATTCATTTATTTGTTCAAAAGAATAGTTAAATAGATTACTTAAATAACTAAGAAAACTAGCAAGAGGATCACTTTTTGGGTTTAAGAAAACAAGCATTCACATCAGATTTTTCTATCGATTTTCAAAGTTTTAAGGAAAGAAAGTTTGCTCCAATGCTTTATTTCCCCTCCTTATTCAGATACACAGACTTCTTTAAAAGCTTTCCAAACGAATGATTCCTAAATAGTTTCCAAAGGAATGACAAATGCCTATCCACTTACGAGTACTTTGGTAATGCATATTGCAATCATCTTCAATTTATCTCTCACGTTTCAGTTTCTCTGTGAGGAAGTATTGGATAAAATGCTAGTGCTCCGCCGAGCATTGACATATGGAATCTTTGTCCATCAATTTGACTGTGGGCTAGAGTTATTTTCCTTGTGTATCTGCTATACAACACGTCTACAATGTAAATGGCAATCACACGCTTCTGAGTTCTGATAGAAGCGTTTCAAGTGGTTCATAGTTCGAAATGACTTTTTATTCAGAAAAGCACTGCAATAAAATGCACGTCACCTTGATTTATTTTCTTTCCAACCAGAAAGTATTTTTCTACACACTCGGATAAAAAAAGACACATGGTACTGAAGGTAAAGCTAAGGTATGAGCATCAAATACACGTACACTCCGTCCAAAATAGTTAGAATGGTGATACTACATGCTAGTAAGACCGTCCATATGTATCATTAGTAGACTAGTATACATTAAAGTAGAGGAAATAACTGTTGTGACCGGAGGTCCAAGGTCCTGCGTTATCTTATTTTTTTTTTTAAATCTTTCTTGATTGTTAAAAACACAGAGTAAAAGGCTTAACCTGAATTTCTGCAACTATCGTCTTCTGAATATCAAGTGCAGAAAATATGTAAATCTGGTACTGAAAAGTGATCTTGTATACTGTGGTTTTATTTAATAAAACCATTAATACATATGACAAAAATCAACTAATATAAATTTGGTGCAAATCTTTTATCTAACTGTGATATTTATAAAGGATACAATTTTATTTTTTTAAACAATCATGTGTTCTGTCTTTACAATAAACTCACGAAGAGTCGTCTTGAGTTTTTGCTCTTCACTTTCATTTTCAACCAAAGGTACAGGCCATATTTCTGCATACAAATGTACTTGTACCTTTTGGTTTCTATTGGTCTTTGGAACAATGGATGAAATAAATGAAATAGGTGTTTGCAAATTAGACTTGAATTCTGATCTTCTACCCATTTAAATATAAGTGAATACAGTAAAAAGACATCAGATTTTTTTGGTAGGTTTTTTTTATCGATCAGTTATTAACAATATTTACCGCGCATTATTTGTAATTTTCTCATATAATGTACCGTACTTAGGAGTTTCACATGCTGTATAAAATACACACCAATATGCGCAATTTATCTAGAAACACTTAAAGGCAGAAAATAAACGATAGCATTTATTTTAAAAATCTCATCTACTTATAAGTGTTTCTGGACAAATTACCTTGAGTAGGAAAATCAAAAGTTCATGAGATTTCTTTACTATTATGCACATTTTCGTGCGATTACCTTTAATTCTTAAAACATTCTTAACTGAGAACTTTAGTTAGAGTTGTCTCTCATTGTCTTCATTTGACGGTGCTTTATACAGAATAAAATGACAATTTACGTTTCGTCATTTTCAGCACTATTTTAATTAACTTATGTTATGCATATAAAATCATCAAAGGAAAAATGTTTCAAAGATTAACAATAAAAATTAGCTTTCATGCGAGAATACTCTTTCATACATATTATTTGCTAAATCAAAACAAAAGTGATCTGTTAAATGAAAATATCACATATTTATTTGTCTGTGTGGACAACTTTGTAGTATGCATTTGTCTTCAAAAAATAAATTTATATGAAAATCTCCACAAAATATATATGTACATATACATGTATATCTTTTCATCCTAGTTTACCGTGGTCCTGAGCTTTCACCCATAAGAAAATGTTTGTTTATGTGCTTCCTACCAGAATCTTTCACTTACGTTGGAAAGCCACCAAGTGGAAGCTTAAAGCTGAAAGAAGATGGGTGAACAAGGCGAGCCTATAGTGCCTATAGTGCCTATGGTGCAACAAATATGAAGGTGAAAAATTAAATCTCAAAATTATAACAAAGTTTTCTTTGATTTTTCATCTAACATTAAAGTATACTTGATGTAAAATCTCCACAATCTGCAAAAATCTCACAAAGATTGAAATTATTTGCATATGAAATAGCAAGCACACACTAAAGAGTGCAAAAAGGATCATTTTTTCATACATTAACACAACTTTTCGATATGAGTGGGTCTTCGCTCCATTTTCTGAAAGTTTATCCTCAAAGTGTGCAGAAAAATATACATTTTTTGGTTAACAATAACATGGATCAGATACCCACTATACCTTAAAAATACAACATTCGTATCTTTCCGAGAAATTCTAAAAGTACATTTAGTCAAGGGTCACATCACAAACACGATTTAAATGTCACTATTTACATTATAGGGAGTTGTGTAGTGTAGTGGTTAGCATGTTAGTCTCAAAGGAAAATGATACTCAGGATTTTTATTGCTAGGGTTCGAACCCCACAAATACCACATAATTTTTTTAATAACAGAATATAATTTTCCCGAGAAAATTTTCCTCGAAAAGTTTTGTTTGTTATAATTTCATAAATTTCAATAATGACAACTTTACTCTACATACTAAATTCACAAACTGAGTAAGATTTTATCTGAAGTTATAAGCATTCTGCACACCTTGTTCACCTATCTCCTTTAGACCTGTACTCGGAACTTATGGCCATTTAGTAGTAAGGGATCTTTTTGTGCCAGCACCTACTGTGACAAGGGACCTTTTTTTCAATAGTCTCATCCAGCAACTGGTCTCCACTTCCTACAGTGGGTTTGATCTTGCAATGTTGCGAAGATTATTTACTCTAAAGCATGACCTTCTCACCAATGTGCCATGCTGGCAAAGAAGTTATTAATGTCCAGTATGATCTCTTATTATCATTGTCTGCATAGTTCATAGATAGAAAGTAGATCAGACTCTGAGGTCTTAATTCCGAGTCAGACATATGACTTATTATCACAATTTCTACTTAAGTATTCTAATCCCATCTTTTACATACCAAACTAACATTTAAACTAATTTTTTAAATTCTAACATATTGAAGCAATTCACTATAACTGAGACAAAAGCAATTTCATCTATTGCTCATGTGACTGTGTAGTGTGTGTCATTAGCTATCATTGTAATCTTTGAAGATGATAAAACACCCCACCTAGAGGAGGACATTGCAATTAACCTGCAAGGTATCTGTTTTAGTAATTGACACTAACAATCAACAAAAGCAAAGACTGAAATAATTACTCCATGGCACACAATATCCAGTTTACATGAAAGTGTCAAAACAATGTTATTGGTATTAAATTTCTTGGCATTTAATTGCGGTAATGTCATTGTAATTTTCATTTCAATTTTTACTGAAAAAAAAATTCTCATTTAACTTCCTTTCTTCTAAATAAATGATGAACATCAAGCTTTGGAATATTTTATTCAAAATCAAATGGGAATTTTATTTTATTGTGGGATCCAAACCTGAATATAATATTTATCACATAAGATGACCAAGTATACAAAGTGGAGACCAAGAGACAAAAGTTTTCCCTTGGTATTGCAATTTACATCTTGTGATTTAACCAATATTAAAAAATTGGAAATAAAAGATTATTTTACTCAATCCAACATACAGAAATCAAAATTTTAAGCTAAAATTTATACTGCAACTGAAATGTACAGCAGTATAGAGACTTACAATTAAGGTTAATAAGATAACCTTTAATTTCAACCATATGTTGACATTAGTTTAAGATAAGCAAACTAATGATATTTCCCTATAATTCATCTGAAATGGTTAAGTAAAACAACACGCAATTTCAAATTTTACTTTTAAACAGGTATTTTAAAAGCAATGTATAATTTGAAATTTGAAATTTTCTTGTTTGCATATAGTCAAAATAACAATTTCAAAATGCTGTCAAACTATTGTACATTTTGCTGTATGTACACTTGGACTAATAAAAATATCACACACAGAATACTTAACAGAAATCAGTGAACCTAGCCTCAATACATCATTCAGATTTTGATTGCAGTCATGCAGTTCCACAAAAAAATACAGATTTGTGCAATGGTGGTGGTGGGTGGGTGGGTGGGGGGGGGGGGGGGGGGATAAAAAAATTCCATTTATGAATTATCATTAATCCACATACTTTACTTTTATTGTAATTATACCTTCTACTTTGAATTCACAAAGCATCATACAGAAGTATTACATATCCAATTTCTTTTATGAACCAATTGTAACTCTTTTGAAAAGAAGTGCCATATATACACATAGGAACAACTGTAGTTGTACTTTTTTCCACGTGATTAATTTACGCTATGCATACAAAAACAAATTTTCCACAGAAATTTGTCACAGCATACTTAAATTACATTTAAGACATACCAGCTCATGTAAAAAGGCAAAGAATTCTGGACTGAACAGACATTGTGATTCCACGGAATTATGATGCAGCGAAAAAGTATGTTTAGAGTTATACAAATTACATACAAATACAGTACCTGACACTTTCTCTTCCAAGCATTGGTGAGCCATGCATGGAGGGTCTTGCTTCCCAGGATCGTTTATTTAGCACCCGGACTCCATCAGACTCATCCGAATCGTGAGGCGCCACAGCGGTGTATTTCTGTGCTAGAATGTCTGAGCTGTCTAGTTCATCATCATCATCATCATCTGTCTTCTTGAGGCACCACCCACACAACAATACTGCCACCACCAGCACCACCATTGACCCTAATGCACTGATGATGGCCAGGAAGACCTGTCCCGAGTCCTCCATGTCTATAACAAAACGATAGAATCAATATGATTAATAAAGATAATCTGTTAGTCAACCACACACACTTACTTTATCAAATGGTCTTAATGTAGAAACCACTAAATCTGACAAACTTCATGCATGAAACAAGAGATACGCTACCCACCAAATTTTAAAGATAGCTTTCTTCTGTCACAGTGACTTCATACCTGATTTTTCTTTGTTTAGTATAATATGAACAAGAAATTGATCAAGTTTGGTTAATGTCTCATTTTGGCTGCAAATGGTTCTCAATTTACCTTCTCATTTAGTGTCAGATTTTATAACCTTGAATGATAATGCCCAGTATCTCAATCTGTAGTTAACATCTCAGTTACAACATTCCCTCAGCTACTTTGTATTTATGCATGTACAGTAAAACCTTGTTATCACAAACTCAAGGGGAGAAAGATAAAACTTCAAGACATCCAAGGACTTGAGATAACAAGGGTAAAAAAAAATTAGGAAAAAGCAGTTGGGAATGCCAATGCACGTTACATCAATATTCTTGGTATACAAAATGTCAGTGTTTGAAATAATGAAGTTCAACTGTTTATGCCATGGTTAGTAAATACTCAACCAGTGAAAATCAAACAATAAAATTAAAATATACCGATGTAATTCAAGTGAGCTCTTAATAGGCAGTTTAAACTCTCTGAAGAATGCCTCAGAGTCAAATAAAAATAATTTAAAAAGTAGCACTTTCCATAATACATCCTTTAAGCTTGAAATCTCCCTGTAAAATTCTTCCTCTATCCTCCAGATACATGTATACCCTTGAATGTGCCCTGGATCAAAGCTGTGACATTAAAATTCAACATGCAGAGTTCCACAAACTATTTTGATCAGAATATGATGCACAGAGACTGAAAATATTCCTTATTAAAGACAAAATAATATTAAGCCCCCCGTAGGACAGGATTATAATAACTCCTCTTCCACCACTCCAACTCTGTCAAAAATTACGCTTCAGTCTGTATATTGTTATAAGGTTAAGAGTATAGGAAATGGTCCCATCACTATCACACCATAATTCTTTTGAATTCTATAAAATCAATGTCCTACACATAAAAAGTAACATGCAAAATCCAGGCTCAATCACAAACACAATCTGAAGGACCTCAAGAAAGCTGACTTATAATCATCTTGATAGCCAAGAATGTACAAAAAGTGTCAGCATTTCATACCATATTGCACAAAAATGCATAGTCATTTCTGTAAAAATGTAATTGATGTACCTGCCAAATAAAACAAAACAAATTAGATGCACCTCTCATGGGCTTCATCTGGATATAATAAGCAAATAATAATTAATGAAGAGATGAAAGAAATGCCAATCATCAATCATTGATATGTTATCAAAATTAATAACTGTATATGATATGGTGAACTAACATTTGCTACTTTGCATCCTTGCCCTTTAGGTGATTGGGAAATTGAGGACAGCAATTCAAGGAATCAAGAATGTGAAGGAGTAACAAAATCAGAGCAACAATGGGAGGAGAGGAGGGCAACAAAATGTGGGAGCAACACTGGGGCAACAATGAGAAGGAAGGAGGACAACAAAATGAGAGAGCAACAACATAAGGGCAACAATGAGAGGGGAGGAGGGCAACAAACTGAGAGTGTAACAACATAAGGGCAACAATGAGGGGGAAAGAGGGCAACAAAACAAGGGAACAATAACCTAAGTGCAACAATGAGAGGGAAGGAGGGCAATAAATTGAGGGAGCAACAACAAAAGGGCAAAAACAAAACCAAGGGGGAGCATCAGAGCAAAAGAGTGAGAATGGGAGGATGAGAACACTGGTGAACACAAGAGCAAGGGAGCAATATTAAAATACCCCTGTCTATTGTTGTCCTAGTTTCCGCAACAATAGGCAATAATAGATTTGTTATCCCCTCACAACAAGTTGCTGGGTGAGTGAGTGAATATGTAACAGACGTTACCCAAGTAATAATTTATATCAGGATTGATGTGCTCATTTGCAAGGTGCCTTTGTTGCCCTAGCTCTCTCACATTCCTATGATATCATTCATTTTCTGGATCCCTAATTTAAATTTTAATGACCCTCTCATTCTTGCCTTCTTTTTTTGTTGCTCTTGCATTCTTTCATCTCACTACCTACAGCTGTATATTCCCTGGAACTCCAACTCAGTTGCAATGTCACCCCTTACTCTTCACTCCCTTGCTCTAAGGAAAATGAAGAAAGAGAGGAGGTGGTCTTACTAGTACACCATATTCTTGTTATTTATGCACACAATAAGAGAGAACAGAAAAGTCAGCTAATTAAGACTGCAATTATCGCAAAAGGTCACACAAAATACGTACAATGAATGTTCTGATACAAATTTGTTTCCTGATGTTTCTCTGTGTATGATTAAAATATAGTGCTAGTCTTGAAGAATGAAATAATAATATCAGTCATACTTTTAAAGAACACAGGTCAGACTAACTTGGTAATTATGACAACAAACTTATAAACATAATATCAATGGGTTTCAAAAGACAACCCAAAAAATTCCATTTGTAAGATTATTTTTTTTAAAGAAACTCATTTAGTATGCTTTAAATGTCTATCTTTTGTAAACTTTTGATAAATTACCAAATTATATATAAAACAATTAAAAGGCTAATGGGCATAAAAATTATATTCTCATAGACTTTCTTAAGAAAATCCACCCCTTAATTAAGGGGTCACATACGAGGGCTGTTCGGAAATTATTGAGACATTTACTTTTACTCCATAAAGGCCAGAGATACATTCATGGAACTCCGTCAACATTTTATAAATAACGAATAAAAGAAATGTGCAAAATTTCTAATTTATAGGATAATTAGACAAGTTCCGGAGAAATTATAAACATGCATATGTCTATCGACCTGGGGCAGCATCGCTACGTCATTTTAACGTCACGTCAGCCAGAGATGTTTTTGCAAGTGAAACGATCAGAAAGCATTTACTCTTCTTTCTCTGTTATCACATATTCCAAAAATCAAACTGTCTCTTTTCTTAAACAATTCTTTAAAAAATAAAATTAAAAAAAATGTGTGCTGTTGCTACCTCAGTGTAAAAAATACACGAAGTGTCAAATGCAGGTTGAATTAGCATCACGCAGTACCGATTTTTGCACAGCGGGTCAACGTTATTTACTCCGTAATAATTGATGGTCGTCTGGAGCTTTTGTTTTTACTCTTGTTGAATATTTTGTAAGAATAAAATATATACCAATGAAAAAAATAAAACCCTTAGACACATTTTTGCATTGTTATTGTTTTAGCAGGTCGTTCAGTCTGGAAAAGAGTTCTCTATAGCTCTACACAAAATTAAAGGTATGCTCGCTGCGCCGCCTTGACGTCAAATTCCATTTTGTCGTTGTTCTCAGTTTTCTATGCCGCGCTTAAATTTATTTATGATCTCCGTATTTCTGATCGAAATTTAAACAAACTTGCACAAAATGAAGTCAAAATTAAATTGAAAAATTATATACATAAATTGAATCATTTTCGCTCTTACTATGAGTCCACCGGGAGTTTGAACGTTAGTGTAACATATTTTCAACATCTGATTTCGTGACTGCGCCGGGTACCCCTACCATTGACACATAAATATACCACTGAGAAGAAGAAATCAAATATATGAAAAATATTTTTTGCTTTTATTAATTTTTATTATTTGTCAAACGTATTTGCAAATTTTCACCGAAAGACGTTCGTGAGAAAAAAGAATATACACATTGTCTCAATAATTTCCGAACAGCCCTCGTACATTGGTCTTATAATTGCCTTTTTTTAATTGGAAAAAAAAATTCAATCTTCAACTGACCAAAAACTTAATTCAAATGGATCCAACACATGTTTATGTGCTTCTGCTGCAAAAACTAGCTGATATATGTATTTGATGGCTAGTTCTGAAAATTGTCTCTTATCAAAATGCCCTTTGCATGTCCAGGTGAACTGAAGAAACTCCAAGGCTTAGATCATTACTTCCATGGGACAAATGGAATTACTCTGTCTGTTGTGTGCTGAACTAGTTATAGTTCTAAGCATACATTGTAGCACTTTTGTCTCAAAATATTAATTAAATTTCTTCTAATCATTTCTTTGCATGCACATGATGTTTGAAGAATATGCAAGAATATTAATAAAATTTTCCTAATATGTTTTAAGTCTTTCAGAAAAAGGCCAGTCAAACTGTTTTACTAGTGTATTTATTGATCTAACCATGGTATACCATTATCAGAATAGAATGAAAATGCCCAATGCACTAGAAAAGTATAGATTCTTTTCATTTTCGTTTTCATAGCTGCAATTTAAAGGTGCTTAGACACAGATTTGAAGTTAATATTTTCTCATAATTTCTGTATAAATTATCACGACTTATATATTGCAATAGCATTTCACACGAAAATATAATTAAAAACTTATTTTATCTGGAAATTATTGGAACTATGAATTCGTGGACGCGTTTGATTAACACATCCTTGCACTTTCACAAATTTTATCTTTATCCTTAATATTTAAGAAAAGAAGCGATTTTGTTGTGTATTAATGAAAAACATTACATCTATAATCCAGAAAATTCAGAGTAGAAATGTGCGAAAGCAAACCCCCTCACTAATATCGTCAGCCCGTGCTCATTGTTGTGTACAGAGTTTAACAAATTGAATACACCGTGAAACGTAAACTGTTTCTGTAAACAGGGCACGAGCTCTGTTATTGTTAATGTTTACGATTCACCGGGTGTGTTCAATTGTAAAAGTCTGCACACACCACTGAGCACGGACTGACATTATACTGTGAGTGGGTTTTGCTTTCGAACATTTCTACTCTGAATTTTCTGGATTATAGTTTTAATATTTTTCATTTATACACAACAAAACTGCCACTTTTTTTAAGTATTAAGAATAAAATTAAGAATCGTGAAAGTGCAAGGATGTGTCAATCAAACGCGTCCAGAAATTTGAAGTTTCAATAACTT